CCTGAGGTCAAGCTTGCCTGTTATAATGCCTTTGAGAATGAAGAGCGTATGACACTACCTGAGCATGTAGTGATCAATATCACTGACAACACCAAAAAGAAATTTATATGCAAGATCACAAATGACCTTCAACTAGAAAAAACCATCTGTATTGGCTATTTRTGCAAGGTACTGTGAATTGATTTGAAATCATGGCATTCCAGCTTCATCACTTAGACTCCTATGTTAGATAAACCTTGATTATAGAATAATTTGAATCAAAAATGATTAATTCTAAATTATACTGTTGTTTACAGGAAAAAGTGGAAACAAACTGTAGTAAAGAGGAAAGTGTACCAAAATCATCTGTTTTAAAATCTAAAGAGAAGACTTCTAGTCTTAAAAGCATATCCTGGACTTCAGTGTTGTATGGCACTGCAGACAAGCAAGCAAACTGTGCACAGAAAGACATGGTCCCAGTGTTTGCTAAAAGAGCACGAACTGTGGAAAAAGCGATTGAGCCATCAACACCTTTATGGAGGAAAGGGTGCTTTGAAGGGATACCAATTTATGACCCCAGTGACAAGCACACTCCAGAACAACCTCCACACACTCCATCYGATTTCATTTCTCAAGATAGTGATATTTCCTTTAAAAAACAAGGTAATATTATGGTAACAATATATARAAAAGTATCAGTTAGAGGCYGATATAGGATATCGACCTAGAGAATGGGGACAATAAATAAAATAATTATGCATGGAGAACATTCGGAATGCAGGTGTCATTAAAATCTATACCCCCCAAAAATATTCCATTGTTGACCTTAAGTATACTACTTTCAACAGACATTGCTACAGTTACAATCAGTGAGGATGATATTGAAGTGAGGGACATGATTGGTAAAGGGCAATTTGGTACTGTGCATAAAGGCACGTGGAAAGGAATGCAAGTTGCCATCAAGTGCATTGCAAAAGGGTATGGGGAACCAGATATRAAAGAAATAGACATCTGCAGGTTTGTATGAATAGAGTTTCCTTTGATATGTTACAGTACCTAGTTTAAGGCTTGACTAATTCAATTTTATACATACAGTTTCCTCCTGAAAATTTGAAAATTCGGTTACATTATTAAGTAAGAATAACTGACACGTATGCATGTACTGTAGTAATGCTATTTTAGTTAAACTGATAAATTGGATCTGATTTTTTTGCAGACGTCTCAAACATCCCAATGTTATCATGGTCCTTGGCTGGGTTGTTGGCGAAACAGACATTATGATTCTAATGAATTATATCAAAGGTATCAACCTAGCCTTTGCCATAGGATTGGCAAAATCAAAAAAAAA